ACCGTAAAGTTTTGAATTATATAAATGTTATTGTAAAAAAGTTCAGTATAGAATTTTACGGTAAAAATGAATTTTACGGATATTACACCCAGGGTGCCAGTACTTTTCACTGTAATTTGAACTAGATTTTTACAGTGTACTTAAAAATATAATAGCGCGTTCATATTGAAAAGAAATATTGAATGCTTAAATCCTATATATTGTCTTTAAAAAAAACTTAATTTTTTCTATAAAAAAAAGACTTTTCAAAAAGAAAAATTGTTTATACGAGAGTGAGACAGTTATAATGGCAGCCATCTTTGTACGAAGGTTAGGTTAAAAATTAATGGTTTTTGACGCACTTGAATCTTTGTTACTCCAGTACTTTAGTCAGAAAAGCTTAATAAATTATTTTCTGATTAATATTTCTAAATGACTTTTTTATTATTATAATTTCGATAACTAAATACAGACACAGTTATGCATGAAAAAAAACTAAATTCAGATAAAGAATTTTGCACACGATTAATTAACTCATCTACACAAACAAAATTTAGCAAAATTTGTTTCATTATTATTAAAATTAATAATTTAAGAAAATATTTATAATACAAGCTTTTGCGCCACGTTGCGTACAGGTCACTGTTATTTGCGATATTTAACTAGATGAGGCAATGGTGGCATAGGAAAGGAAAGAAGGCAGAAATAAAGGAAATACATAAATGTATGAAGAAGCAAAGGAAACTAACAAAGAAGGAAAGAACTGAAAAAGTCAAATACGAATGAACGAAATGTGCGGTATACCAAATTCATTCATACGCATTAAATAGATCATCGAACTTTTAAGTGTAAAACTTAGTATTAAATAACATAAATGAAGACTTCATCGCCAATGATAAAAACACAGATTTTAGTTTCATGATTGGTCTACGTCTAACAATTACATATGACAGAACAATAAAACTTCTGAATTTGGCAGGATCTATGGAGGAATTGTTCAAGCAATAAAACAGAGGATGGCTAAAGGATGCTGCAATAATTCTTTGATGAGAGTATGAAATTTAGAAAACTGAAGGACTACCTGAACATAAACCCCGTCCGTCTGATATGGCTAAAAAAAATTCTCTAGTGACTTCAAAAAAAGAAAATTTCTAAACTGTAACAGCAACTAAATATTTTGAAAACCGTGTACCATGAACTAGAGCCCCTGAATCATAGTATAGGAGCCTTACCATGAGCTAGCATTAAAAACGCTTCTTTATTAGGTCACAACAACGTAGTTTCCAATTTTTCATTACTTTTAATAGACATCGCTAAGTGGATGCTGTATATTTGAGCAGTATAAACACTAGACAATTTCGTATATTCGCCACATTATTATATATACCTCCCTTTTTTCTTTTTTTTTTAGTTGTTTTATGACATATTTATCATTAAATGAAGGAAAAATCTATATTGATGACTAATTGAAAAGCATTTACGTAGAAACTTTAAGAAATAACTCTTATCTGTATTAATTCTTCTATTAGTTTGAAACGATCAATGATGTATGGCAAGCGTATAAAAATGGCTTACATTCATGATACAAATACATTTACGAAAAAAAAAAAAAACAAGGAGAAGTTAAAATGTTTATAATATCAAATCACACAATATAGTTTCTAAATATCTTATCTTAATTAATAGTCAACATCCTATCAGAAAAAGCATCCAACCATTTTATAGAATTAAAATAAAGCAACTTATCAAGCGATTAAAGAGATTTTCAAATATGAATTCAATTTAAACATAAGAAGAAAAGGATAAAGTCTTCCTTCAATTAGTAAATATACCTAATACAACCGAGCGCTGTATATTTTTTTTGGCAAATAGCGTTTTTTCCACATTTTTCCTCACGCTTAAAAAAAAATTGCATTCCTTTTTGTCCGTGCTCTACTATTAAAGTGAAAACTCTTCAATACTTAGCTGTATACCAAATACCTTGTTGATAGGCTTTCAGAGTATAACACCTGTTCTTTTGCATGAGTAGTTTAGTATGCGCTTGCAGCCTCATAAGTCCGCAGCTTACGAACAGAAATCCCTTAACTAAAAAACCTGATAAAAGACACTAATAACGCTACATAAATATTTAAAAAGTATATTACTATTTTATTTAAAACGGAGAATTTCAGGATTTTACAGAAAATAAATTAATTTTTCTTCTTATTTAAATTTAATACCGAGTCTTATTTCTTTAATTTAAAACTCAATTACACTGAGACAGTTTGTTCGAAAAAAATTGTTTCAGTTCTTCGTATCCCACAATCTATTGTGTTTTTGAGTTCAAATATAAAACTTTTTTGTAAAAAGTCTTAACGAAATAAACAAAATATCTTAGTTCAAACATTCTTTGTCCGCAAAAGATGAGTTTCTCGTTTTAATTATTTGGGCTTTACTTTTTGAAAAGTTCTCTTCTTTATTCGTCTCTTTCCAATCAAGTTTTATTTTAAGTTAATTTTGTTTACTTTGAAAAGGATTTTATTCGAATAATTTATAGTCTCCGTTGAGATAAAGGTAGTCAACTGAAGCTTTAAATATAAATTTTAAATTCACATTAAAACTTATTGCATACTATTCATCTAAGATTGACAAATTTTTTATTCATAATATTAATTTATTTGTAAGAGACAATACTAGTTTTCGTATTTATAATTATTATCTTCATCGTCATCGTTATTACTATTATATTTATTATTATTATGTTATTATTATTATGTTATTATCATTATGTTATCATTATTAGGTTATTATTATTATGTTATTACTATTATGGTATTATTATTATGTTATTATAATTATGTTATTATTATTATATTATTATTATATTGTAATTATTATTCTATTGTTATTATTATATTGCTATTATTACAATGTTGCTCAAGGTTTTTAATGCATAGACACTTTTCGAAAAGATCAATTTCTGCACCATAATCACAAATAAAGAAATTTCGAGTCATTAAAAAACAAGCTAACATAAGCATTAATGAAAAAGATCAGCACAACAAGATTAAATAAAGAGAGCAGACGATAATTTTAGAACTTCTTGGTGTTGATGTTGATTGTTTTTCCGACTAAATTTTTTATTTTTATTTTCACCAGCATGCACTTTTAATGTTTTCACATGATATTAATTTAAGTAGTTTTATGTTCCTTTTATCATTAACTGATTCCTAATTACCATTTAGGCAGTAATTTAAATATAAGTATGAATATTAAAGGAGAAAAAGAATTTTGTGACATCTTAAGAAATGTATATTACTTGGAATTGAAAGGCAATCTAGCGTAATAGATAACAAGGGGACAAACATCAATTGATGCAGTTTTTGCATCCATTACTTAAAACATTGTGGCATTTACGAAAGTCTATCCCGAAAAGAAAAAAAAAAGTCACCAATGGGTAATCAATGATTGCAATTATGCGATCGCAATTTTCTCTCTTTTGTAATCAATCGTCATTATATTGTTTCCACTCTTTTTATTAGTTTTATTATTATAAACAATTAATAGGAATCGCTGATGTAAAGACTTTTATAAATATATTTCGCAAGGAATGTAATAATGCTTTTTTTCTCCTTTCTTTTGCACGTCTCTTTGAAACTTTTCTCTTAAATGAAATAATTTTTTCCCTAATTTAACATTATCACCTTATTACCTATCAACTACCCTGTCGTTCCCTATCATTTAAAAACTAAATTTCATAAAACTAACATTACAAACTGCGTTTTTTCAATAAATAGAAATCAAATATAATCCGCCATCTTTTTATTTCTCAACTTTGAATTGAGTGCATATTAAAATCTATTTTTAGAAATTCCCCCTTCATCTACCCCCGCTACATAACACATCAGCATGAAATTTAAAAATCGCTGCAGGGTTGCTAAATATTTTGGTTTTATAAAAATTTGTTATTTTTTCTCGCGCTTTCTTTTCTTAGTAACACATTTGAATACGTAAGGCTAGAAAAAAGAGCCTTGGCAATAAATTAAAGCAATTAATACCTTTCCTTGGAGAAGGCTATTCTAACACAAACGCATCATTTGCATATTTTATTTCTTGATGAATGGAGGTGTCCAGTTCCAGTAGGGTTCGCCGCAGCAGACACACCATCCTGGCCATTTTCGAAAGTTAATAACTTTATTGTTTATTTATTTTTGTAAAAAATCATACCTCTTGATTAGAAAAAAATAGAAGTATTTTTTTTTATCAAATTTGATTCTTCATTAAAGCATTTTAAGATCGTGAATATATTTGACTTCCTCATGGTGAGGAGGTAAATAGACCATTGGACATCAATTTTGTTCGATTACTTAACTTCATCCGCATATTTCTTCAAGTTCTGTTTCTTGCCATCAATTACAAATTATTTCTTTACACCAATTATTTCGCAACAATCTCTGATTCAAAAATTATGCCCAAGTACTTGATTGTGCATATGTTAATTCATTGATCTTGCGTATAAATTAATTGAATTGTTACTGCTTAGACATCATTCTACTTTTCTATTGTGTTAATTTGCTGCACTCTTAGAAAGAAAAAACATAACTTCTTTACTTAAATTACGTATTTAGAAAGTTTTCGATCAATGTGAGAAGAATATAGCAGACTAGTTTGCGAAGGTAAAATGAATAATTCAAAACAAAAACTGAAGAGGAAAGGTACTTATTAATCTAAATATTTCATTTGCTTCATAAAGTATAAAATTGGAAAAGTCTGCATGTTTCAAGCGTTCATAATTTGGCACCCATTCTCCAGGCGTGAATCATAATTCTCACGTCTGGTGAGTATATAACTGTCGTAGGGGTGTGGAGGATTAGTTTCTCAGTAATTAAAAAAATTGTACAGTGGGCAATCTAATGCTTAATATTTAAAGATTATCTGAAGCTTATTATTTTAAAACTGTTGCTTACATTAACGTTTTCAGATCAAAAATGTGTAATTATTAATTTATGCATCTATATATTTAATTTATAACATCTTTCCAGTGTGTCTTTACTCCCGGATTCAGTTGGAGCCGAGGTTCTTATAAGTGCCAGTGCAGGGACGGGTTCTTCTCTGCGACCAAGAAACCTATTTTCAACGGATCCCTTGTTGAATCAGCATACAGAGATAAAATAACTCTCCACAGGTGAGCTAACATCAAGTTTTTTCTTTCAGTTATAAAAAATATTCTTCAAAATAAAAACATATACCATTTTAATGCGGACGATATAGTGATCTACATACTAACATTTACCGCTTTCCATCAAATTTTTTTAGTGTATATTTTCGAATATAAAAAGAGAATTTTTGAAACTTTTCGAAAACTGAAGCAGCTTATAATCGGGATCTGTTAGAACTGAAATTCCACGCAAAGATAACAACAACAACAAAAGCTAACTTAACGGGTAATTTTTAATTTCTCTTCGTGAAAACCAATCTCTTTTTGTTCGTTTGCTCATCTTTAGATCTTTAGTCAGATATAAAATCCCATTGAAAGTTCCATCCTTCTTTAGTTTTCCATCTCTCTTGTTCTCATTAAGCCTCCTATTCTATCAGAGCTGACCTATCAAGCAATATTGGAGCAAAAAAGTTCACAAGCTAACGTTATGTTAGTATTGTGCTTATGTTAGCTCTTTGGAGCAAAAATAGATGATGGGTCGGCCTGTCTAATTCAGGGGCTCTAGTTCTCATGTCTTTCCAGATTAACGTCATCAGCAGTTCAACTTGGCAAAGAGCCAAAGTAAATCAGACTATAAATGCGAGAGCTATTTAAATTATGAAGATGTTTAAGTTTTCTATTTGTTCACATTTAACTTCCATTGAACATTGTTCATTTACTGCGTTATGAAGAAAAATGAGCGGTAAAAGAAATTCTTATGAAACAAAATATTTATTTCCTATTGCATTTTTATGTGTTGTTTTTTTCAACTGTTTATTTATAAGTTTTTTATTTTTAACTGCTATTTTATGTACTCATATGTTTTGTATGAGGTGTTTCGTATTATTTAGAGATTTGAAAAGTATTTAAATTTTGGGTGAATTTTCAAAGAAAAAGCGTATTCTAGGATTAGCTTATATTCTATAAAATACAATATAGTATAGTCAAATATGTTTCAGAAATATTTTTTTTAATTTCTAAGTAACATATCATAGTTCTTTTATTCCTGTCAAAATCTATCTTTAGTGTATGACGGGCAATACATTTTAAATGTATCTTGAACTTTAATCAATTTTTCTTAGTTACACGTTGCTAAAGTTCAAGTTGAACGGAAAATAACTCTTCAGATTACCAACTTATTAAAGTTTCAATAAATTGTCCTAAAATTAGGGTTCAAGGTACCGATATTATAGATCAACAGTAAATCAACATTTTTCAGAGTTTGTTGACTTAACTGCACTAACTTTTCAGAGTCTGTAAACTTAATTACGCGATACTAAAGCTCAAATTGAACTGAAAATAATTCTTCAGTTCACTAACTTATTAAAATTTCAATAAATTGTCCTTAAATTAGGTTCAAAGTTCCGACATTATGGATCAACTATAAATCATCATTTTTGAGAGTCTGCAGAATGCTTGATAGAACTTCTCGACTGATTACTAAAGCTCGAATCCCTCGAAAAAAATAGTATTAGGAGTATATTGTGATGCCCATTCTTTATTAATCAGAAAATTAGAATCGTTAGCCGATCGTAGTTATATTATGAAATGTTTGAGACTTTTTCACCAATACACTGTCACAAAGATCGGTACAGCGTTGTTGTTGTGGCTTAGCCTCTAATACCTGACGAAGTCAGACAAGGTCCATCAGACCGTTGACCCTAAGGAAATCGAGGACAGAAGGGGGTATGAGTATATGTCCTCTCTGGAAAGTCCCAAACAGTCCAGGATGTGTCCGGGAGAAGCCTGCTCAGTTTGACATTTGGAGCAGACCTTGAAGATTCTCCTGCCTTCGAAAAAACGAGAGAATTTTTGTGCGACCGCTTGCTAATCTGGAAATTGCGGTTTTAGAAGCTACGTCGCACTTGAGGGCGAATAAAGAACCTGGCTTTTTGCTCGCATACCAGTGATGGGGTACAGCGTTGAATATATCCAGCAAATTATCAGCAATCTTCACAAGATGTAAAATCAAACATTATTTCATTTAAGTTATACTTTTGAATCTTGCAATCGTTCTCAGAAAAATAAATATAAACCATAATGTTACAACCTTCAGCTATAAAATCGTACAAATTTGTCGACACCTTAGTAGGGTGTTAAATTCAACCATGTTTCAGTTAAGTTCACCGAGAAAATAAAATTTCTCGATACTATGTTTGAACATGGCTCTATATGAAGATTTTAGCAAATTTTCCAGGTTCATCGTCCTACAAAATTTTAAACAGAGTAGAATATTTGGATATCTAAATAAATGAAATATATTACAAGATTTTTCTTATATGGAACTAAAATCATTTAAAGCACTTTCGAAATATTTATGATACGTTTGTTTCGAAAACGTAAATAAATTTCTCTATTAGTCTGGACATTTCAACGTACAGTGCGACTTTGAGGAGAACTCCTCTAGACTAAAAGTCTGGGACTGTCTGCTGCTATAGTAACAAGCGATGGCACATTTCTAATGGGGGTAAAATAGAGGAAAGAAGGTGTCGATTGGTTTACTCACGACGACCTACTTTAAGATTAAAAGAAAACTATTCACCCCACACCCCTATTCGAAGTGACCTTTCCTCGTAACCATAGTACCCGCCACGACGCGAGACGGGTGTCTGGAGGAGTTCNAGCCGCACTATACGTTTCGGGGTTAGGTAAAAATGGCTGCTTTACTATGTATAATAAAGTGTAGAAAATGTTTAATAAAATAAAAAAAGCTTCTTTTTTTCAATTTCAGTCCCACCTATGACATGTTGTATATATGTAAGCGTTGCCAACCTGGTTGTGATGTTTGTGAAGATGATAAACCTTGTTTAGCTAATTACAATTGGGCATTCCGGTAAGTAAAATTTGTATGATTGATTGGAAATTGATTTAGTAAACGATAATACGAAACCCTTTTTCTATATTATAATAATTATGCTTTTCATACTTTAATATTGATCTTTTAATCTTAATGCTTTTGTTTCTCGAAAATATAATTGTGGATTTTTTACGTTAATTTTTAAAATGATTAGTTTGAACATAACGAATATTCGTTAGTCTTAAAAACCAATTCATTTTTTCGATCCGTTTCTATTCATTTTGGATCCGGCGTTGAAAGGTTGTTGCTTACAAGAGTACATACTTCATTGATTAAAAATAAAATCTTGATAAAAAATATCAAATGCTCTGAAAAGACATTACTTTCCGATCCCCCTGACATATGGTATTCTTTAATAACCACCCTTAATGCATACTTGTCGAATCGTTTTCAAATATTTATTTTAAATATTATGCATGAGATGGGGCATCAAATTAATATTTAAGTGAGGAAAAAACAAGACTAATCTGTTGATTCACTCTTGAAAAGAAGCAAAACTGGAAAAAAAAATCAGAATTTGTTTTATTGTTGGAAGAAGTAGAAACAAAGTTAATAGACGGTTATAAGATCTCTCCTTCTCCCAGAATTTTTAGAAATTTCAATAGTATTTTTGTTTCTTCCATTTGAAATATTATTTTCAGGCCTGTAATATATTTTGACACTGACTTTTGACTTTATTTTGACAATAATTCGAAAAATATATATTTTATGGAACTATAATCCTGTACTTCGCGATATTACGCCAATGTTTTTTATTAGTATTTCTTAATAATACCATTTGTGATTTGTTATACTTGTTATCACTTTACTTGTTTATGATTTATTGTACTTGCTATCACTTATGCAAAATTTAAAACTTCAAAAACATTTAGGCGTTACAGAAATGATTTTTATGGAATTAAAAATTTTATTTTTATTAAATCAATACTATCATTGAAAAGCAATTCACGAGATTAAATTTAAAAAGGTAGATTCATTTTAGGAAATTTCTGAAGCAATTTACTTGAAATTGAAAATATGAACGAATATCTCTTTTAGAATATGTTTATCCTTATTCGTTCGCAAATGTTTTTAAAGCAAACTTAGATAAATCACGATCAAAACACTTAATGTGTAAATGCAATTTGCGAACGCAAACTCATTTATCTTCGTTCAAAAATGTATTTCATGTCAACAACTTTGCACAAGCGATTTAAACGTGATTGAATGTTTTTTAAATCGTAAAAGTGTTTGAATGATAAATTAAAAATGAGATTTTACGTCTAGAGCCCAATCTTTAAAATAATTGATTATTATAAACTCAGAGTATGCAATGTTCAATGCGGTTCCGAAAATGTAAACCAACTTCAAATTTGTGAAAGGAGCAATCGGCAAAAAATATCATAACTTGAGAAAAAATATCTTGCCAAATAAATAAATTCTGATCGTTAATGGAAATATATTTTTATGAAAAAATATTCAATATAAATTCTTTATTAATGTGCAATTTAATAAGAAATACAAATAATAACCGAATTCCTTTTTAAAAAATATTCTAAATTAGTTAGCACATTAGTCATAATTAATTTTACATCATAAAATCAAAAAAGCAAGTGTCAGGTACTGAAAAATATTTGACAATTTTTATTACTTTTTAGCTAAACGACTAGAAAATATAACTTTTTTTTATAAAGATGAAGAAATAGCTTTAGATTTTTCAAAACTTTCCAATGATGAAACGTTGTCATGTATTTGATCATTTTTCATGTATTATTTCAAGTGAATGCGTTTCGTGGATAAAAGATAAAACCAATGCATAAAAATATTAATTAAAATAGTAAAGATAACTTACAAGTTTTGATGTTGCACTTTAGCATCAGTTTCAATACTAAGTACAATAAAAAGAAGAAAGTTTGCATTTTTTTCTACCCAACATTACACACAAGTTTCTATGCTATCCTGGAGCATCAGCTTCATAGTATAGTAAATTTTTTCCGATTAAAATTCTTCAAAGTATAGTAAAGAAAAAAATTTTTTACATTTTCTTGCTCAAAATATCATACAAGTTTCGATGTTACATTGGAGAATATTCCTCAGTGCAATGTTTAATAAAGAAAAAAACTACAATTTTCGACTTGAAATAGTTTAAAAGTTTCGATACTATACGAGAGCATCATTTTCAGTTCAAAGTAAAATGCAAAAATAATATTTACAAACTTTTATGTAAGGCACTTTGCTCTGAAGATGATGCTCTAGTGTAGCATCAAAACTTGTATGCTCTTTTAACTATTTATATATTTATATTTCTTAAACTCGGTTTTGTATTTACGTATCATAATAACTATGCTTTTATTATTCTTATTATTATATTTAATGAAAATTTTAATCCGTCATTTATACACACTGCATAGAAAAGTACCAAGAGATTTTTGGTCCTTAAAAGTTTTTAGAAATTATTAAAGAAAAAATTTAAAAAATTTTATTTGTACAAATTTTTTTTATGTTACGCTGTGCTTAATATGTATGTTTTCTGGCTAAACATGAAAAAAATATTTAAGTGATAAGTTAGGGAAACACATAACGTTGCTAAGATTTGCTATAGTGACGCAACTAATCACTGAAATTTTTTATATACCAACTCAGGGAATAAGACTATAAATCATGCAAGCTTTTATCCAACAAAAACCAGTCCACGTGAGATTCTTGCTCTACAAAATTGCGTCCTGAGAGATTTCGAATCCACTATAACGTCCATGACCTTATGTCTACACGGTTTTTTGTCCTGTGCGCACTCTCACATCACCGGGAGAACCAGACACAAAGTTATTTTATTCAAGTCTCCTCAAAATTCGCTTTTCGTATAATATTATGCTCATAGAACATTCAGTTCAACTAGAATTTATTTCTTTGAAATTTCGTGCACAGGCGAATTTTTGTCGTGCGAGCTTTCGTATCCACTATATTTTTCTTCAGAGACATTATTACCATACAATTTTCTGTCCTGTAGGACTATATTTCCCGCATTTTCATGTTACCGTAAGATTTAACGCGCAAAAATTCTTTCCTACTAAGTTTTTGTAACCTCAAGATTCTGTCACGGTAATATTATGCTCACATAACATTCAGTCCTACTATAATTTGTTCCCGTGAGATTTCGTGGTCACGCGAACTTTTGTCCAACGAGATTTCCTATCTACTATATTTCTCCTTCGAAGCATTATAGCCACACAATTTTCTGTCTAGTAAAGACTATATTTCCCGCATTGTCATGTTACTATAAGATTTAACGTGCACAAAATTCTTTTCTGCGAGGTTTAGTAACTGTGAAATTCTGTCTCCGCAATATTGTACCCACACGATATTCTGCCCTGCTATAATCTGTTTCAGTAAGGCTTCGTACCCAAACGAAATTTTCTCCTGCAAGATCTCATATTTATTATATTTTGACTTCAAGACATAATGTCCACGTGATACCTTATCCTGTGAGAATATCTTTCTCACGTGATAATTCACCTGTAAGGTTCAACCCACTCGTAATTCTGCACTCCAAGATCTTTTGCCCATAAAATTCTGCCCTCCTAGATCTTTGACCCCTGAAATTTTGCCCTCCAAGATCTTTGACCCCTGAAATTCTGCCCTCCAAGATCTTTTTCCCCTGAAATTCTGCCCTCCAAGATCTTTTGCCCATGAAATTCTGCCCTCCAAGATCTTTTACCCCTGAAATTCTGCCCTCCAAGATCTCTTACCCCTGAAATTCTGCCCTCCAAGATCTTTTGCCCATGAAATTCTGCCCTCCAAGATCTTTTACCCATGAAATTCTGTCTCTGCGATATGTCCATACGATATTCTACGTTGCAAGAATCTGCCCCTGTGAGATTCTACTCAAATAAAATGTTTTCCTTCGAGATTTCTTTTTCTATATTTTGTCGTCTAGGCACATGTCGACGTGATATTCTACCCTGATAAATTCTGTCTTGAGATATTATTATTTTGATCAAATACCAAGCTGGTTTCGTTATGAAGTCATGATCACTGAGTAACAAAACTGAATTCATAGTTAAAATACTTTAAATGAGTTGTGTTAAATCTTTTTTTTTTCAGAATCTCTCTATTAACAATTTCTGTGATCTGCATCTGCTTGACTTCTCTCCTCGGAATCTATGTATACCGTTACAGAAAACTCAAAGTAATAAATGTAGCAAGTCCCATATTCCTCTGCATCACCCTACTAGGCTGCGTCATCATGTACTGCGAGGTAAATCTTATTTTTCATAGCTCCGAATCAAGGTTATTTGAACTGGATATAGAATTTTTTAAAAAATTAAAAATTTATTAATTTCTTGGGGCAGAGGTTCCCAAATTTTTTCACCTAAGATGTGACCCAAAATCTACTCCATTCATTAAGCAAATTCAACATCTGACTGAATTTCGGTTTTTGAAATTAGTAAAAAATACCTTGGATAAGCAAGCGCTTAAATAGAAAGATTATCTTTAAAGTGGAACAATATATGGAATAATAATCAGAATTATTTTTATGTAATTATGACATTGTTAAACTACATTACAATTGAAATGAAATTTAAAGTAATAGAGATAACTAAAAACAGAAAAGAGATAAGCTATAGAATAATAGTATAAGATTAAAGAATAGCAGAAATAAACTTGATATTAATAGAGTTAAACTAAATAATGATAGAGGTAAATTAAATAATAAATGTGGTAAGCTGAAGAATGATAGCGATAAACCAAAGAATGATGTCGATAAATTACAGAATAATTGAGAAAATCTAAAAAATAATAGTGATAAATTAAATAAAAATTGAGATAAACTAAATAAAAATTGAGATATACTAATAATAATCGAGATAAACTAAATAATAATATAAAATTTTTGTTGAACATCTCGGAGAATTCCAATATCCCTGGTTTTAGAGCAATCCACGAATAACGCTATGAAACTTGAACATATTCTTTTCTTATTTCATTAATAATTAATAATGATCTAAAATTAAATTTGATCCGATCAAACAACATTAAATACCTAACCAGTCAATAAGAAGTTTTGTTTAGGTATTTTTGTAATACCCTATTAAATTTGATATTATATATGCCTTATTTTTAATTATAATTTTAGATGTAATCTTATAACGCGCAGTGTGAATATGAACCAGATATTTTCTTAAAACGCAGTGAGTAAAAAAAACGAAGCACTTAACAAATATATTTTTTTATTTTTTTTTAATTTAATGCTCAATGAGAACTCAACTACTTAGAATAAAAGTAAAAACTAAAATTGCCCACTTTTATTACATAAATGATTGAAAAGTAAGAATTGCTTCATTCTTATTTCTTAAATAGTTTTAGTTCATTTCTAAAGAAATTTAATGATTTCATAAAATAAAATAATTAGTAGCTAAAATTCAATTTTTTCCATTGTAAAAAGTTATACAGTTAACTTATTGTAAAAAAACTATTAAAAAATAAAATATTTTCTTAAAATGAAAAAAAAATTCTCAGTGTATTAATAAAGAAAAACATTTTAATGAAAATAACAAATTTCAATTTTTTCGTATTTTAAAATCATCATGCTAAAATGATTAAAATAAATGTAAATCACTACAATGATCATTGTTGATATCAAAAGAATACTTATTTTTTCGCGCAATTTATTATCAATTACTTTTTTAGAAGTTATTAACTAGAAATTAATTGATTTTCTTACAATAAAATAATACATTATTGTTTGTATTTTTTCCTTCCAAACACTTTTCATCATGTTTTTTTTTCTTCATTTAGAAACCTTAGAAAAAAAACAATCTTCTTTGTTTATTCATATTTTTTCTTTGTTTAAGAAAATAACAAAAACATCACTTAACAATACTACAATAAAAACGCATTAAAGGAAATCATGAGCTAATGTATTTATAATATAATTTTGACCTAAAGTAAAAATTTAATATGTTAACAGCGAACAAAGAGAAAAAAATTCCTTAAAAAATCATTTAATTACAGATGAATTGAAAAATGAATCACTAATTATTTTTTCCACCTCGTTTTTTAATGTACTTAATTAATTCATGATAAGCTTTGTTATTGCCACTTGCAAAAAAAGTTAAATAGTTTTATGCATTATTTCATTAAAATTCTTCACATAAAAGTATAACTTATAAACAAACGTATGAATGAAAACAAATGACAAATAAGGAAAAGTAAACCTTAAAACTTATACTCTTATAAAATAGTTTTTAAAAAGTAGTTTTAATAGTTGCTATTTAATTAAATGAAGCTATAATTCTGCGCACTAACGTTTTGTTATACTAGACACTATATAATTAATTAATATATTTTTATTTAATTTATAAGCTTATTACTCCATGATTTATATTTTGCAGGTAAATATCTTGTTAAAAGTTTCAACTAGAAAACTTATCGACTTAAAGTAAATTTTTACCCCAGCATTTTTATCCTGAAATTACTTCAATTAATTACATTGTAATGTTTAAATACTATTTAATTTTGATAATTTTGAGTGAATATTTTTAATCGAAACTCATCACTTAGAGCTAAGTTTATTATTTTAAAAAAGTTTATCAATAAATAAGAATAAATATAACAGTTATGCTTATAAATAATTATTATTGTTATTAAGAATAGTCTCTCAATATATTTAAGTTCCGTAATAAATAAAAATGATTATGAGTAAAGTTCTTGCTGTTTTTTATTTCATGAAAGTTATCATTTATGCAAATTTATCAATACGTTGGAACAATTGTAACATGTGTGATTAAAAATTATTAGTTAAGAATAATTATATTTAATGTACTTGCAATTTTTTTTATCGAAAGTTTATCGTAATTTACAAGTGTAGTACAAGCTTATTGTTTATCAATAAATTAAAATAACTTTAGCATTATTATTTTTTAAAAAGTTTATAGTATTTGGACTTACAAAATTTTATGCAATTGTAATAATTAAGAGATTAATTCCGAAATTTATATTTTACTTTCTTAAATCATGATTTTTATCATTTAATTATTATGTAGCGTAAATACTTTTACAATTATTCCTTCACCAAAAAACTTTTTTTCAACTGCGATAGAATTTGATGAACGATTACCACTAGTTGATCCATTGCTGTTTTTAAGAGAGGCCGGCTAAGCTGTATTAAGATCACTATTGTGGGAGTGGTCACTCTTCTGTTGAAATTAGTAGCAACAGTGTGAATAGATCAATACTCATCAAACTATACGTGTTCATAACGAAATAGGCGTATCCAGATCGCGTCCGAAAGTCACCAACGTCGATGGAGGGTACCAACATTGTCAATCGTCATCTATCAAGAGGTTCCTCAATATTGAATTGAGTTAACATGCTTTACATACCAGTGAATGGGAATTGAATGATTGTAGTGGTAGTTACGCTACAATAAAATTATGTTTTAATTAATAATTGCAACTATTTTGCAATAATTTTAATTAATAGTTTACAGTCTCTTATCAATCACCAAAGTATTATTTTTGTCTACGAAATTCTTTTTTAAAAATTTCAATCTGTTTTTAAAAGCAATGAAATATGTTATTCGTCGAAGCTATGAAAACTTGAGTGCTTTTAATAAGTTTTTTTTAAGTGCATTAAATATTACACAAAAATGCTTTTTATTCTTCTTTTATTTTACAAAAATTGCTAAAGCGATTTTGGTGAAACAATTACATAACTAACACAATTAAACAATTTTGCTAAAACAATTTTGTAATCATTTTGCTGATATGATGATTTTTTCTATGCAATCCATTTTTTTCAGTTGAGTTGGGAGGGGAAAATTAATGTTTAGCATTGCATTCGCTTCTACATTTAACTGAAATTTCAATTAATCATTATAGAATGAATATGTATGTGAAAGCAAATTTCGAAATTACAGTTCATAACACAGCGGAGGGTAAATTTGATATTTTTCTTTCAAATTTTTAAAAATAATTAAAAAAAAAGTATTAGCTTAGCTTCTTTTTTTAAGTAAAGATTTTTTGTAGAAAAAAATGAAAATTAATTTGGAATTAATGTCTTCCACTATGAAAAATAACTTATTATAACGATTTAACATTTTAAAGAAATAATAATAATAATGAAAGTAATTTAAATCATCAATAAAGCGTTATTTTAGAAGAATAAGAATAAAAATCTTGACAATAGAATAATTTTTGTCAAAAAAAATTCTTTGAAGAATATAATAAAAAAATGGGTATACTTCCTTTCTTTTCTTTACTTTAGAAATAACTACAAAGGAAATTTCTTAAAAGCAAAAAAATAAAAGTTGCTAGTAAAATAACTATAACACAATATAATTTTGTATACCGTTTTATATCTTTTGATATAACAGAATTTAAATGTTTTCATATGAAATGTCAATAAATCTGTAATGTTTTCCTCAAACAACTTTTCTAAATTGGCAAAAATCCTATTTTCTCTAAATATTTTATGTGATAGTCAATGATGCTACAATGTTTACCTTTAAATTTTATATATTAATTGTCAATAATCTTATAAAGTTTACTTTCAAGTATCTTTTTATAAATTGCTAATAATCCTATGTTTTCCTTCATATGTTTTATTTTTGCATTTTATTTTTGCATCAAAAACAATTTTAATCTTTCAAAAATTAATATATTTTCAATAAACTGACATAAACTATCTTGAGGAAGCAAAATATTTTAGCATACATCGTCAAATGTTTCTGCATTGTTTTATTTGAAACAGTTTCGTTTTGTTCGGCAACAATCTCTTTTTTTCAATCATTCTCAACGGCAGTGTTGTAAGGAATTTGATGTAAATGTATCCACTGGTATGTTCGTAATCTTTTTTAGAACAAAACAAAATCGACTAATCTAAGATGGAGAACTGGTATTGAAAAACTGATGACTCCGAAATGAAATTTTGTCATGAATATCTGAAATATTCTGCGATGTTTCAGAAATGTCTTTTAGGCTTTGCAGAAATGCAAGGAAAATATTTTAGCAATGTCGTTAGGAAAGCAAATCTCTCGATTTTTTAAGAAAATGAATACAATTGTTTCTAACATCTTCGAATACTTTGTTAAAACTCTTTAACATCAAAACCCTTTAACTTTCTTAAACCTCAAAAGAAATATATCTCACGCTTCGCCCTTCGCGCTAAGACATTTGGCATTTTGTAAATGGGACATCTTGTCCTTCATGTTCAGAAATCCCTCTCTTATATCGATGGTCAACTTTTACTTATTGTCCTCGATTGCTTTGGACATTGACAAGTAAACGATCATTTTTTTTTTTGGCGATTGACTTATCCTACCTAATTTTCAGATGGCAGCTATATTTCCGGTTTTATCAATGTCAAGTTGTATTGCAACCAAGTGGACAAGGCACATGGGCTTTTGTTTAACATACAGCGCCCTCCTTCTAAAGACATGGAGGTAAGGCAACGAAACATTTCAAACATTTTTTAACAATATTTCTACATTTCGAGACCAATCATTATTAAAATCTAGCATACAATATTTCTATATCAAATATATATATATATATATATATCCAGTCATTTTAACTGCTTTTGGGCAATATAGGTATATACTAATTTTCTGTCTTTCTAGTGTTAAGAAAAATGTTTCCTATTGCAAAAGATAAATGCCTCCTTTTAAAAAAGAGATATTGCATCCTTACGTAAAAGACTTGCGTCTCAACAGATGAGACAATTGCATCTCAACAGAAAGGATAATTCCATCATAATATAAGAGATAATTGTTTCTTTTAATAACGCGATTGCATCTTAAAATAAGAAACTCGTGCATTCTAATAAAAGATGCACTGTCATCCTTGTAGAAGTAACATTAGTTACCAATTCGAAGAGATATTTGTAACCTAATAGAGGATACAAATGCATTCTAATACAAAAGTCAAAAACCACTTATTAAAGAAGACAATTATCTCCTTATTGGGAAGACAAATAGATCCAAATTCAAGAGATAATTTATTCTTAATAAAAGAGAGGAGACAAATGCATCCTAATGATGGTGACAATTGTCCCTTTCTGAGCTTGGTTTAGAAATATGTCAGAGAATCAAAATTATTTTTTAAAACACAGACGTATTTGCCGCAAATAAGAATGACATGTTTCGTTTGAAAAACTTTCCACTATATTTATTCGGGATTTAAAAGAAAGACATAAACCTTTCTTAACTGTACAAAACAATTTCTCCCACAGTATCAAAAGAGAAACTAAACGTCAAAACTTTTCTATCAACATTTTGAAGATGAAGTTGGATTTTCAACTCCACAAAACTAAAAACAATGTTCTTCTCTTTGGGTAGACGTACGTGTTATCTTTAAAACATTTCCATTAAAGAGTAGCATTATGTTGTTTCACACGAAATGAATAACAAAACATTTTGTGTCAGCCTGCAGAACACATTTGATGTAGACTCAATAAATTAAACATGTCTGTCTGGACAGTTTCTGGTTGGACAAAGTTTTATCCTTTAAAAGTTCAAATTATAAAGAATGGGCATTCAGTCGGAAACATGTCAGTTTAAAAACCAACAAACTACCTTTTTACATATTTAGATAAACACGAACCATACTTTCGGATATCATTATATTTAATGAAAAATCATTAACTAATTCTAAATTTTAAATTATTTACCTAAAAACGCAATTAAAAACTAAAAAGGAAGTAAAGAGCCTAATTTAGTATAAATAAATGCTGTTTCATTATTCTTAGTTATTTCATAAGATTTGTTTATCTTTCAGAGCTTTGACAAACTTTTGAAGGTAAATTCTGAGCCATCTCACAAAATTTACACTAAGTTACATTTAAAATAGCAGACACAAAAGCAATTTTTAAAAATTTGTGCTCGAACAGTCTTTTAATAATTTGAGTTAGTGTTTTCACTGTTTTTATGAATTTGACAAGAATTTTTTTTTTCTATAAAAGAAGAAATTTTGCATCTCATACTGATAAAACTATTCTTTTGTAATTTAGATCTTCTCTAATTTGTTATATTTCAACCTCTGCTCTGTAAAAGAATGTGGTGTAATACCAATCCGAATTCAGTGTTAAAAAACTCGAAAAATTGTGTGTTATTTCCCGTTAATAATGAATCTAGAGTTTATACACGCTTTAAAAAATGTAGATAATTTTTGACTCTCCAATGATTGAGAAAGCTTGCGCCAAGATCAGACACATCTGCAGCTTTTTGTAATTATTTTCTCCAATTTTGACGTCAGACTATCAGATTAAAAACCGGCAGACGATCCTATTGGAAACAGTCACACAATCATATTGGAACATCAGACGATCAATATTTTTGTTTACAATTCGAGTGCGAGAAGGTGAAAGTTTGATTTTACCGTGCAGTTTGTTTCTGCAGAAATAGAAATATGTTGTTTCTAAAGGCAAATATGTTTTTAGTTGCATAATAAAGATAATTCTATTCTCATTAAAGACGAATTACATAAATTTTTCTATTCTATTAAATAATTTTATAACATTTAACTTAATACCACTATGGTTCTTTTAAACCTAGTTCAAATTCATATTATTCTTTCTGTACTGTGCCTATATATATATATATTAGAGAAAGAGAGAGATGGATATAGATATAGATAGATATAACTGATTCTTATGATTATCTTATCTTACTGTAGTTATAAAATAACAAAAAAGGTGGCGGCTAATTTTCACTAAGAGTGTAAAAGATCATTCTTAGTGTAGTTAAACACAGCAATTAAAAAGTTATGTATGTCATTTCGCTACGCCACTTACGTGTAGAGTAGTAGCCCTCGTGCTTGGCATTGAGACACACTTAAATTTTTTACAGTATATAATTTCTGATAAATAAATCTATCTCTGAAATAAAATTTATCTCTTGAATAATTTGAGATCTTAAAACAAAATAATGACCTTGTTTGCAGCTAGAAAGTAACAAACAACTTTTTCTTGCGCAATAATATTAAGATAACTATATAGTCAACATAAAGCACTGATTTCAGAACAATTCAAAACGTTTGGGGGTTATTTTTCGAGAATTGCACTTAAGCTTTGATTTTTATTTATATCTATTTGCGAAATAAAGACATTATATATGAAGCTACCATTAAAATCTTTTAAATCGTAAGCAAAATAATTAGGATATCACCCGTATGGATTGGCCAGCATACTCACCGGACTTGAATCCAATAGAGCATGTGTGGGATATGCTTGGCTGACGAATTGCAGCCCGTCAACCCCCTCCCATCTGTCTACTGGACTTTCGGAGGGCATTGCTTGATGAGTGGTGTAATATTCCCCAAGATCAGATTGATAATTTGATACTCAGCATGCCTAGGCGTTGTACGGCCTGTATTGCATCGTCCGGGAGACATACTCCGTATTAACCATCATACTAACCATGTTATACTGTTTTTTGTAAATAGGTTCTTTTTTTAAATTTGCTCCAGGGAGTAAAAATCGCAATTTTTATTAATTGTCAAACATATATCATCTTTTTTGCTCTTTACCTTTTGTTTAATACATAGACTTTAAAAATAAGTCAAATTTGCTTGGCTTCTGTCTCTTTCTGTGCCTGAACTTCATTATCCTTAATTTATGGACATGAGTGTATTTTACGAAAACATCAGGAAACACTGATTATTTACTTACAAGCAAAAATCAACGAAAAATTTACCACGTCTTTAGTTGTATGTATTTAAATGAACGCAGTTTTATATTCTTGTATCATTATAGGGTTTCTCTAACGTATCGAGTAAAAATTTAACACAGTTTTATATTCTTTTATTATTATAGGGTTTCTCTAACGTATCGAGTAAAATCAGCGCATAAGCTGAAGCTCACAGATAAGCAACTGTTGCAATGGCTGTTCCCTATTCTGTTAGTGATGGCCATATACCTAGGCACTTGGACAATATCCTCGCCTCCTGCTGCTGTCTACATCAAGGATTGGGACCACATGAAATTCAAACAGTGTGATTATAATTGGTGGGACCACAGTTTGGCCATAGGTAGGTTATGTTTCTCTCTTCAAGTTTCTTAATATATGTGATGTCCATAGACCTATGCTCTATGGCACTTATCTAACGGACTGTGAAGCAAAAAAATTTCATGAACCCAAGAATTAATTGTAGTAAAGGACGCCATTAGTTTAAGTTAAATCAAAAGAACTAAAAACCACGTATCTGTAAAATATCCATTTAAAAAGGACAAAAAACAAAGATCCATTTTAGAAAGGATAAAAAAACATAGCTAAATAGTTTCTTCTTAACTAAGTTATAAAACTACCAAATTATTCAAAATAAATAGTATAAGTATTTTTTAACTCTACTAAAATTATTACTTAAGACAACCTAGCGATAGGAACAGTAACTATGCTGCTAGTGGATAGGGATATACTCGAGTTTATGGTGCCGCCACATGAGAGAAGTGTATATCGAGAGATTAAAAAACTTTTATGGTATAAAAATTAAAAATTTTTGAATAAATGAATAGCATAAAAGGGCATTTGATATTCGGTTTATACTAAAAGTGTTACTAAATTCACGACAAATTAAAACACGGGACTCGTATACTTAGCTTAAGCTGATAACTCGTAAACACTTCTTAATCTTTGAACTCATAAACATTGTTTATAATAAACACTCATAAACCAAAACAATTCTTACAATTAAAATGCAGAAGTATTGTTTCTACATTTTAATTGTAAGCAGAGAACAATACTTAATTATAAAGTATTGTTCACTACTAAACAAAACAAAAAGTGCAAAATAATCTCCTACGCGAAACTAAAGCGAAAAGTATGTCAAAATTGTATCGTTAAAAATTTAATCATGCTTGAGCTTTCGAGCATTCATTTGATTGCGTTAAATATTCTTACAACAATAGAATAGACACGAATCATTAAATTCAAGAATGCGCAATGAATATTTCTTATTGGCATTAACTATCCTTAATGACATTGGCGGAACATAAAAGGCATTAAAGGCTTAATTATCTACGCTTGCAGCAATTACTTTGCAATCAAGAAGAATTAAATTTTCTGATACCAGTTGTTTAAAACTTAAATTTTTGTGACTCTCTGCCTGAAAGGAAGGACATATGTCTTAAAATAACGACTTTTCTGGAGCTATAAGCTGATGGAAAGTATTGAGAAGGGGCAGATAAAATGGTTGCCAAGCGCTAGTTCCTTATCATCGTAAGATGAATTAGGAAGATCTTTTCTTTTGGGGCGAAAACTGTTGCTGTCAATGACATGGTAAGCCTGCAGCATTTTAAAAGATTTCGAGATTTTGGGCACTCCATTCTGTGGGGATAAATTGCCCGAGATATCAGAGTTAAAATCTAGATAATTTACCAGTTCTTTCACCATTCTAGTTGATGAACTTAAATATGATTCAATTCTTAGAATTTAACAAATCTCATTCTTAAATCCTAGTCTTTTAAAGATTTCAAAGAATTAAATTCATCAAATTGATAAACTAATGAGAATTAGAGAATTTAGAGGATAGCAAAATATAAAATATTAGAGGGGGATATAAGTGACATATTAGAGTTCTTAGATGATAAATAAAGCTTCGAGATTAGAGCTATTGAAATAAAAAAAAACAAGGTTCGTAGCTAAAATAATACGTGACACTTAAAAAAATAAAATATAGATTATTAGTAAAAATTATGGATTAGAAATATTAGAGAATAAAACAATTTATCCAAAAAAATCATCAATGAAATTGACAGCATATTACATTGAAGTCTAGGAAGGTATTGTGAAATGAAACTGTGCCAAACTAGCAAGAAAAATAGCTCCCAATAACTTATTTTACAGAATTATTTCAAATTATGAAAATTACTTACTTAGTTTAATATCAAAGTTACTTAGTTAGTTAGTCTAAGTAATTAAATGATAGCCAAAGTTTTCAGAGAAATGTGTTAAAATAACATCCTATTTTTTCCCATTTATTAATTTTAATAATATGTATTTAAAATAAGAAATGTAAATAATTCAAAACACACAGATATACACACTTTATTCCCATCTTTTCTAAATCGTGTCTTCTCAATTTCAGGTGAATTTTTGTTTCTGTTATGGGGTGTGAAGGTTTGCTACAACGTACGCAATGCAGAGTCTGTTTTCAACGAAGCTAAACACATAAGTTGGGCTGTACACAGTATTACAATCGTCAACATTATTATGGTTATGATACAGTAAGTTTACTTTCTTTATAATATTCTTGTAAACTCCTGTTTATGAATGCATTAATTTTAATTTTAATTTATTTTGGTAACAACGAAGCTGCTATGTGATATTTTTTATAATTAATTTTTGTTGTTGATGTAAATGAAAATACTACAAACTGTAAGAAATTCGTGGATAGAGGATTTGAATTACTTTTCTTTATTTCAAGTGTTCGTATTAGAAAATATTTCAACAACATAACTTAGTTAAAAGTTATGTCACCCATTTGGGTCTCAAATGAGCGTGTCTATGTTGCATGTTTTTATGCTGTATGCACGTTTATGTTTTTATGGATTTATGGATGTTTTTAGGATTTTATGTAGTTGAATAATAATAATTAATACATTTTAATATATCCATCATTTTAATATATAAGTTATACATTTAATAATATCTGTCAATTGCATTATATAAATTTATAATACTTATTTTCGATCTGTTTCTGATCTGTTAAGCCTAATTCGAACGTGTCTTAATATTTTCTCTGTACTCAGCGCATGTCTGATCCACAAATTAATTTTATTTCAAGAACTAGTGTGTGTATGCATTCTAAAGTAACCGTTCTTACCTTAAACTGTATCGTAAATATAACTTTACTGACTCTTGTAGTGAAAAGGGACATCCTAGTGCCAAACCTCAAGGAATAATCTATAATTTACCACACTCTTTTGGTTTAATTGAGCCGAAATAATTTTTGGTATTAAGATAGTCTAAGACTTTTTACATTGCACCCAATTGAATGTACATTTTTCTTAATTTGTTTACAGTTAATTATTTGAGAGTTACTGATATAATATGCTCTTTTTCCATAGCCTAGTCATACTTCCACAAGCAGGACCTGATGTTAAATACCTTTTTGGGTTCATCAGGACGCAACTCAGCACTACGGTCACCGTTATTCTCATCTTTGGACCCAAGGTAAATAAATACCTGTTATTGATGGAATGGTGTTACTAAATACCGGGTATTTGAAAAAAAAGGACTGAAAATTTGAAAAATAACATAAAGAAAAATAGGAGGAGCTACTAATATATAGTTAGCTGAAATATATAATTGTCTAGAAGCAGCAATCTTCGTTCGAATTTTGAATTATGTCTATTTAACCAATATTCACAAGTTACAAGCAATCCATATTCCATTCGAGTCCATACGTTAATCAAACAAATAGTTTTAGAGCAACAAAAACTGTGAATTTCCTTTTATTTTTATTTATTAATTTTTTTAGGGGCAACATTACCACATGACTTTGTCTATACGGTTTACTGCGAACACTTTTAATGTTCTTAAATTAAAATAGACCAGTATTTATAAAAAATAATTAGAACCGATGCTGAGAAAGATTGCAGAATATTCACACGTTTTTAATATTTTTGTCAAAAATGAAATTTGAAATTTATATATATATTGTCATGCAATTGATAAAAACAACGTGTTTCCATAAGGGCTTTTCAACAATTTTCTTTCTATTGTTAATGGTATCAACGCTGAAACATATAAAAGTACGCTAAAATATATAAAAAAAATTCAAGTTTTAACGTAAATATTAAGAACGGTGATTACGGCACACCCTATATATTTTAGGCATAATGTTTACCTGAATTATACCTAAAATACACTATCTGGAAGAAAGTGACGGGACAACTGTAAAGTTAGGTGGAGGAGGATTGATGGTATGGGCCTGTTTCTCCTGGTATGGGGCTGGCCCACTGTTGAAGGTTGATGGTATGATGAATGCCGATGGATACTGTGATATTCTCGACTATCATGTCCTTCCTACCTTATGGGCAACGTACGGTATGGATGATTGCTTATATCAAGACGACAACGCAAGATCCCATGTTGCAAGGAGAACTTTTGATTGGTATGTGAACAACAACGTTAAACGCATGGAGTGACCGGCGCAGAGCCCTGATCTTAACCCAATTGAACATCTCTGAGACGAATTGGACCGTCGGTTGAGGGCCTGCACCCCACTCCCCAAAAGCAAGCATGGACTATGGAACTTCCTGTTAAACATTTGGAAGGAAATTTCTCTTGCCACTATGGCTAATTTAGTGGAAAGCATGCCCAGAAGGGTTGCAGCTGTGATCGCAGCCAAAGGAGGCCCTACCTAATATTAATTTTAATAAATATGGGTTTATGTCGTTATAGTGTCGTGTCCTGTCACTTTCTTCCAAATAGTGTATATGACACTGTTAAAAATTAGAATTGATTAAATTAGAATTGTAAGAAATAAGATTGTATGACACTGTAAAGAATTAGAACGAATACATTTATAATTTTTTAAGATAAGTGCATTAATTTATTCTTCGTTCTTTCAATTGCTTCAACTTAAAAATAATTGTATTTTATTTTGTTTTAGTTTTATCGGGTCATTAAAGGACAGGGTGATGTGTGGGACAATAGAGCTCGAGCTCGTGGTGTCACAGCGTCCTTTTCACTAAATGGTGTGGGACCAGTAAATGAAGAACCACCTGACCTATATCAAGAAAACGAAGAGCTCAAAGTGAGTAACTCACACAACATGTAAAATATTTTTATTTAATTGTTTGGAATGTATGTAGACTGTATGTGAGTAAAACAATCCTCAGTATGTGTAAATTATTCACTGATTAATTATTTCCTTTACATAAATTTTTCATTCCATGTTTTTCTTCCAATTTAATAAATATTTTTCATGCGTACACTGCGCAAAAAAACCGAATCAAACAAAATAACTTTTGATCCAATGATCGGATTTTCACATACTAGGATTCAATCTTAATGGCTCAAGGGGATGACCTTAAATATGCTAATGGATAAATGTAGACGGTATTTCAAGTTACAAAATCAGAGACCAAAACGTACTTTCTCTCAATAAACATACCTCTTTTCCCGGATTTGGATTTCTTACCCCCAAAATATAGGGTGCAGTCGCAATCTCGGAAATATGACTCCAATAGTTTGAGCCGGAGATTCCTACAAAGTTTGGACCCCTTAATGTTAATTTTGTTTTTTGCGTATTTCATTATATCGCGAGAACTTTTTAAGCGAATTGAAAAAAATTTGCAAGTAATTTTAAAATTCGTTTATCCAAAGATAATTCCATGCAAAAAATAACTTTTAATGAATATTTATTATTTTTTTATTATTTTATTTATTATCGGTCGAAAAAATTTAAATTGTAAGGTATACAATTTTTTGCATCATTTGAAAGAATATAATTTTACATGGTAAAATATAAAATTTGAGCAAAGTCGGTTGAATAGTTCCTGAGAAATTGAATTTCAAAAGAGTCATAAATTCAATTTCTCAGGATTCGGCCAATTTCGCTCTTTTTTTACATTTTCCCATGTAAAACTATGTTCTTTAAAATAATGCAAAAATTTGTATACCTTACAATTCAACATTTTATCAACCGTTATTAAACAAAATACAAAATATTTACTAAACATTATTTTTTGCAGGAAACTATCTTTGTATAAACGAATTTTATAATTGCGTGCGAAAATTATTCAGTTCGCTTAAAAAGTTCTCGAGATATAGCGAAATATGCAAAAAGTAAAAATAACATTAAAGATTGCAAACTTTGGAGCACTCACCTGACCAAACTCTTGGGGACATATTTCCCAGATTGCGGCTATATTTTGGGGGTCAGAAATCCGAATCCGTCGAAAAAGGGTATGCTTATTCAGAGAAAGTGCATTTTGGTGTCAGATTTCTTAACTTTCAGCATCATCTCCCCTTAATAATTAGCATATTTGAACTTACTGCTTCGAGCCATTAAGATTGAGTTCTAGAACGTGAAGATCCAATAATTAAATCAAAAGTTATTCAGGATGATTTGTTTTTGTTTTGAGAATTTTTATTTGACATCAGAAATCTCATCAAGTATAAATTTTATTTTGGGGAAAATGTATTTTTCGAAATTGAAATTTTGTCATTAGAAATGAAGTTGAAGCAAATAATGATTAACTTTTAATTATAAATTTCCATAAGTCCGTTCATTCGACTTTTGTACGTTTTTTATATGTAAAAGAGATAGTTTGGAATAACGCAAAAAACAAAGGTTTTTGCTCTGTGATTTGGACAAATAAATTCTGGAGCATAAGTTTATTAGATAGCAATTATATTATAGAATAGGATAATCATTTGGAAATTTTACGACTAACACTAAGAAAATTAAAATATTTAAAAAATTTACAATTAACTAGTTTATATTGAAAAAGTATCGATGCTTTCAAAGTATTGAAACTTTTTTTCTATCCTATTGATTTTACTTTTCAATAATAACTGCTCCAAACCATTCAATAGTATCGAATGGAATCACTATTTTTGTTCGATAATACCGAAAACTTATAACTTCTGTTATAAAAAATATATATATTCCAATGAATCACATATACTTTGCAATATATGGAGTATATCACCCATGCTGCATTTGCATGAAATTAGGCCTCCGAACACAACTCGTTGATTGTGGGCAGCGAATATTTTTACATACTTAAAAACGATCCTTAAAAACTAATTAATTAAATACTATATAAATTAAATATTGATATATTAATTTTTTGTATTTCCTACGCAGCTAAGTTAAATATACGTAGTTACTAAGTGAACTCTTTTAAATACTTGAATTCTGGTTAAACCGAGCTATAACAAGATATATTCAACTTAAATAGAAAGTACTTTGCTTGAACTACAGCTTTTAAGGAAGTTGTCTGCGGCGCCTTAATGTTGGACAGCCATACACCACTGAACGTCTTCGAGGCGACAACTGCCACAGCACATCGCTGTAGGGATGTGGTTCTTGAAGCCTATATGAAGTTGTTCCGGGCTGTTATAGACCCAAACATCTTTTTTATGAACGATAATGCAAAGATACACAGGGCTCGCTGCTGCAAACGGTTCTAAAAACTTATCCAGTTTGCATGGTTTATAAGTATTAAAGATTGAGTTTTAAATTATTAAATGAAATACGAAGAATTATCAGGAATAAAACATTTATTATAAATAAAACAGGTAAAACCTAACGACAAGTACATAACAAAAACGTTCCATGAAAATTATAAACAAGCCAACTGGTGCCACTCACAGCTTTTAGAAATAAAATAAATAATGCCGCGGTGGCCAAGAGTATCATTTTCTACACTCGCATTGTTAATGATTTTTCCTGAAGAGGATATCGCCCTATGAATTGGTTCTTGAGTTCTCCGATTCTCAATCCCATTGAACATGTATGTGATGATCTAGGAAGAGCTGTTGCACAGTGTACCACCTTTCAGAGCCCTCCAGGGATTACAAGTCGCGCTTTTGGAAAAATAGGCTTTGTTGACTCAAGAATTTATTGACACCGTCATGATATGAGAGCTCGTTATGAGGCTTGAATACACAGTGGTTATACTCTATATTAGAAAGACTTTCTGAAATAAAGGCTTCATATCTGATTCATGATTTAATACTTTTTGATATACATTACTCTTTAGTTCACAATTAAAATCTTTTGTCTTTTATTTTGTTGTTGTATTCGTTCTCCAATTGTAATATAATCCGCGCCAAATAGTAGCTCAATAAATAGTTCATCAGTTTTAACNATAAATGCGATATTTCTGAATAAAGAATAATTATCCTAAGAAAAAAATTATTCTTTATATGTGTCGATATCGCAAAAAAACTATTGTCTGGGGGGCCTTAATGTTGGAAAGTCATACACCACATTCGAGGCGACAACTGTCACAACACATCGCTGTAGGGATGTGGTTCGTGAAGCCTATATGAAGTTGTTACGGGCTGTTATAGACCCAAATATCTTTTTTATGAACGATAATGCGAAGATTCCCAGAGCTCGCTGTTGCAAACGGTTCTAAAAATTTATCCAGCTTGCATGGTTTATAAGTATTGAAGATTGAGTTTGAAATTATTAAATAAAATACGAAGAATTATCAGGGACAAAACATTTATAATAAATAAAACAGGTAAAACCTAACGACAAGTACATAACAAAAACGTTCCATGAAAATTATAAACAAGCCAACTGATGCCACTCACAGCTTTTAGAAATAAAATAAATAATGCCGTCGTGGCCAAGAGTATCATTTTCTACACTCGCATTGTTAATGATTTTTCCTGAAGAGGATATCGCCCTATGAATTGGTTCTTGAGTTCTCCGATTCTCAATCCCATTGAACATGTATGTGATGATCTAGGAAGAGCTGTTGCACAGTGTACCGCCTTTCAGAGCCCTCCAGGGATTACAAGTCGAGCTTTTGGAAAAATAGGCTTTGTTGACTCAAGAATTTATTGACACCGTCATGATATGAGAGCTCGTTATGAGGCTTGAATACACAGTGGTTATACTCTATATTAGAAAGACTTTCTGAAATAAAGGCTTCATATCTGATTCATGATTTAATACTTTTTGATATACATTACTCTTTAGTTCACAATTAAAATCTTTTGTCTTTTATTTTGTTGTTGTATTCGTTCTCCAATTGTAATATAATCCGCGCCAAATAGTAGCTCAATAAATAGTTCATCAGTTTTAACAGATTTTATGTTTTTGACCTTAGTTTCGGCAGTAGCAGTATACTTGTGCATCGCACTAGAACTGCACAATGGGCTACTGGAGATGGTCTTGAAAACATCCCTGAGAATGACCAAAAGGCATATGTCATCACCATTTTAATCCTCTGCAAAGAGGATGGCTCATCCGTTTTGGTAGCCCGACGATCTGCGCTCAAATCGAAAACTTAATGGTAGAACAGTTTAACGAGGACCTATATCACATAACCTCGGTCCCTTCGTAGGCCGTTCAAGTGGTCAACCACCCGCTCAGTATGCTTGACTTCGGTTGTTCCCATGGGAGCATGACTTTATGATTAGTTCACTGTGGAGTCATTAATTTTGAGCACCAGTGCATATTACTATTTACAACAATAAGACAACAGCATTACAAAGCATCAGTTTTCTTCGATAATATTGGCGTAATCTATACTTTTCTTATGATACTTTTCAGATATTAAGTATCGATACAATATCACTACGAGTAACAAAAATCATCTTATTTATTTTAGGCGCTAACGCATGTTAAGTTTATGAAAATAAGTTTCACTTATCGTACGGATCACCTAATATTTTAAACTGTTGAAAATAATTAATTTCCCTTTTCTTTTACAGGAGGAAGTTCAAAAGCTTGCCTCACAAATAGAATTCATGAAAATTGTCCACATGGAAGTGAACAATCGTCATTTAAAACCAAAACATGGCGGCTTTTTCAGCCAATCTACTAGCAATCAGAGTCCAGTTATCAAAAATATTTACATGAAATTCGAAAGTACGGACTCACCGGGCTCTAGAATTTCACCTGCCGCTGAACTTGTCAGTGAAAAAGTGTGAAAGCTATTATGAAACTCAGCTTTCGAGGAAAATTTTATAAGTGGAACCGCACAGCTGTTGCCACTCAGAGGAAGAAAATCCTCCTAAAATATTTGAAAAAAGCTTCCGAGTTCGTCCGGGTAAAAACGTAGACGAAATCGAAATTGATGTACGAATTAAAGATGGAGTAGTTCTATTTCTTAATATTAAGAAATATCACGTTTTGTCTAGCAAATTAAAAAAAAAAGATTGCTCTTAATCTTTGTAAAATATCATTTTTACGAATTTCCATCTTCACAATTCAGATGTCTTAAAAGAGTTTACATCTGTACCATCTTAACGTATTTTATAGCAAATATTTCTTTTACATGGATATGTCATACACGTCAAACTTTTAGTTGATTTATCTTAATGAATGATGATGATTCACTCATTTTATTCACCGTTTTAATACTTATATCAGAATTCAAATATAGTTGAAAATATTTTGATGTTTCATTGAATAAGGTGGAGGTCCATGGACAATAATTTTAAAATGATCGCTCATATTTAATTGAAATAACAAAAAAAAAATCCTATGTTTTACTAGCAAGGGATCCTTCTAACGTGCCACTTCATTATCCATCTTCAGCGTTAATTGTTCTGTGTACTTAATTTTAAGAAATTAACACGGAGGGAAACACGGAGATGCGGAAGAAATTAAACAAAGTTACTACAAAGGGAAAAAAAAGAATATTTAAGAAGTTGGAGGAGTAAGATCGAAAGCGTTTTCTTTTTAAACTCTGTTACGTAATCTTCTTCGTGAATCATGTTGTGTGACCCTTTTTTTTTCTTCCTTTTTCTACACTCTCGGAAATGAAACTTTCAATTTTGACGTTTCAGCAATTCTTGAGCTATATTTCGCTAATTATGAGCATTATTTCGCCAAGGAATCACGCGAGTTGTGACAAAATGTTTTCTCATCTCGAAGCCTCATCGCTATCTCCCCACTTGAAATCAAAAATAATTCTTAATTTGACTAAACTAGAAGGACGAAATATTCCTTGCTGTTCACGAAATTCTTTTTCTCGCAGAAGTATCGATAGTTATTTCGTCACTTTGACGAAATATTCGCTCAGAGCATATACCAGGAAATGGTTTCGTCAAAAACCAGGAACGTTTCCTGAAACTGGAGTGAAATTTTTACAGTGTAAGAAATAAGTTTTTATTAGGCATGTTTTTCAAACATTTTTTTCATAAAAACAATCGTATGTTCTTTTTTTATGTTCCTTCATTTGGTGCTATCATTTTTTCACATATTCGCATGATTTTTTAAGTTATTCTTACTAAAAATATTTTCCTTGAATAATTTGTAATAAATCACCGTGTTAATTTTGAAATCAATTCTAATTTTAAATAGAAAAATCATGTTTTGAATTCCTTTTTAAAGAATATAAATAATAAATGGCGTTAATTTTTTGCCGAATGTAACAGAGTTAAAAAGAAAATAAACGTTTTCGATCTTAATCCACCAACTTCCTAAATATTCTTTTTTTCCTTTGTAGTAACTTTGTTTAATTTCTTCTGCATCTCCGTGTTTCTCTCTTTCTTTTAGTGTTTCAATGCTGAAAAAGCTGCTTCATTATATGACTGCCAAAATGTTCATGTGTCTATTTATATGGCGTTATTTGCCTACTTTTCTCATTGTCTTAACGTAAGTAATTAAATAAGATGATCCATATTTATACATTCAGAATCAATTTTTTTAAGTTTTCGCAAGCTTTTGACATCGCGAATTGTAAAACACAGCAAAGCAATATTATTAACAAATATTTCTGGTGCGGTTGCTGTATAAACTTTTACATTTTCATGCTTTTAGATCAATACAATCTTTTTTGTAATTGATAAAAACAAAATTCTGACCATCAGTTCATCCTCAGCAGTTTACAAAAATTGATTTTAATATATTTCAAACTGGCGACTAAAAAAAATTCTGGACATCCGCCTTATTTAGATAACTAACATAGCATAAAGGTACTATTGTAAAATGAAAGAGCTATTTGTTGCAATAAACTGCTAACAAAGACCAAAACTTAATAACTCAAATCAGTTCACTCTAAAAAGTCATAAATTATTATTTTGTCTCACATTTTGGGAACAATAGAATACTTACTATCTTTGTCTGATGTTAAATTTAGGTGTTCTCTACTAATGTTAAGCATATTAAGGGAAAAACTACTTTAATAGAACCTTTGTGAACAACAGCCTTATTAGAAAGAATTTTGGAATAGAGTCACATGATCATGATATGGGTCAACTATTCTAGCCCTAATGTGTATTGTACAGTGTACTCTATAAGTTATCCAGAATTTATTGTATGATATTGAATTTGTAAATCTTGCAACAGCAAAATGAAAATTTTACTTCAAATTAATATAATGTTATTTCAATTTTTGTTTTTCCAAGAAAAAAAACTGCCCAATTTTTTTAAATACAAGAATTATTTTGTTTTCTATAATATTGCATCATTTTTAATCGAACACTTGTCCATTTTCTTAAATATGCGCGCTTTTGGTCGATGCATATTTTTAGACGCAGCATTAGTTTTTGAAGTTCTATATTATGCCCAGCTCTTCGTCATAACCTTGAAAACATTGAACCTCTTACTCGCTTTTCATTAAATTTGTGCAATAGCTTGTCATACTCTGCAAAGATTAGCACCCAGTGACTAACATCTGTTCTAAAAATTAAAAGAGTATTTGACTGGAAGACTATTGAGCTCAGCCTATGAAATGAAAGATGAGGTTTATTGCAAGGACATGGCGTGGAGCTGGTATGACATAGAGTGAAAACTATCCCAGGAACAGATATAGCAATTAAGTGGCGATTTGTAGGCATAGTAGGCATGTTCAATGTTTAAAATTATCTAAGGTTATATCAAATAAACAGGCTTTAATTTTTTTTATTGCCCTTAACTTTGAATTTTTTTTCAATATCTTAATTATTTTTCATCTAAATTTTAGTATGAAATCCGATTTAAAACATTTAACAATTTTTAAACACTTATGTCGGGTTCTAGAAAATTAAATTATAAACTTCTTGTAATTCCAAAATGTGTTTTAAATTCAAGCGAGAAATCTTTTACTGAGATGTCTGTAATAATAGTTCATTCTTACGAAATTAGAATTTAAAATATAGTCCATATTTCTTGGAACCATAAAAGTGAGATTTGCATACACTATTTCTTGCTGTTAAATGTTTGAAACATGTGCATGTTTGTTACACTTAGAGTACAGACTTGTTACTAATGAAATATTAAGGTTCGTATCATTTCTGCGCACCTAGCACTAATTAAAAATTTGCAAACTATCCTCTAAAAAAACGTTGAATAATACGGATAGAACAATATTTTAAAGGGCATTGCGTAAAACAGAAAAAATTTGTCAGATTTCTAAAATATGAATCTTGGTGAGTTTTCTGACGAGTTCCTAAACGAAACAATAGTACAGTTAATTGCCTGGAGTAATTGCAAAAAGGCGGAATTGTCTGGCGCGTGTTGAATCAAATTATCGTTCAAGTTTGCTGTGTTCCTGAATTAAACCAGATTATCGTACTTCTTAAACGTTATTACACAATACTTAGGTTCAACCTGATCGAAAACATGATTCAATTTAAGACTTTATTTAGGTTCAAGCAAATTAGTACCGTATTCTGGTTCAAAGTACTGGTATAATGGTTAATCGTTGAACTATTTCTCCTGAGAATATAATTGAGGATATTTAATGGGGATAATATTGAACACAATGAAATGAAAAACAAAATCAATGCTTATGGATTTTTGTCATCCAACATCGGAAAGATAAAACTTAAAAAGGCAAGCTAATCACGTCGACTTAACTTGAGGTAACTATTTTGATGTGGTTTGTCATTTTTGTCAAAACATGTGGCGCCATCTGTCCTTGAAAATTCGAACCATTTCGCGGTTGTAAATTTCATTGTTGCTTTACCTATGAGCGAAAAATGTGGGACTTATCATTGTCTCGTTATGAACTTTTCAGTTGTCTAATGACGTATTTTAATTTAGCGGACTTTCAATTACTTGACAAGGTACAAAATATCATATTTTGAAAACCTGGCAAAATTATTTTGTCTCCTAGTTTACAAACACTTAAAAAACAAAACCGAAAGTAAGGAAAATTCAAACGCAACTTTCAAATAAATGTGAATATTTTTCTTAATTTTTAAAATTTTCTATAGTATTTAATTTTGTCATAATTATTCAACTTACTTTCGCCACCGGTGATTTAGAAAATATACAGAAACAGGTAGAAATATACGATTTGATATGCTCTGCTTACGAAACTTATTAATCATTCTCACTAAGTTTCAAAGTTAGTTACGAAATTTATGAAAAATGGCGATGCTGATTAGGAAAAGCTATAAAACGAGGTCTTTAAAATAACTACCCATTTGCAAAAATGAAGCGGCTCTGTCTCAGGATAGAATTTAACATACACCCGTACCAATATTTTTAGTTGAAATGGTTTTACAAGCAGCAAAGCACATTACTTTATAAATTACAATCAAAATCGTCATCCGTAGAAGATTTCTGTAACTATTTTTGAAACTTAGTGTAAATAAAAATTGGTTTCCAAGAAGAAAAAAAACGCAGCAAACAGTACATTTCTATCTTCTTATTTGATTTCAATCATTTTTTGGACACAAGGTTAATATGAATGCTTTGATACTTTTTATATAAACACAGTCATAAAATAAATTAATACCTTTAAAATCAACTACGAGTTTTTTACTTTAAATTTTCTCAGTTGCACAAAAGATTTAAAGCTTCATGTTACAATTATAAATTATTTAATAAAGCAACATATCTTGCTATTCAAAATGTTGAAGAATGAAAATAAAAGACCCAAACTTTTACGATCTTATTAAAACATTTGAACTTGATGTTATATATCTTATAGAGTACATATATTTATAAATATTCCATGCATAATTATCGAAATATATTGTAATATAATAAACAGCAATAAATTATATTTAAATATGCTCTGATTTTATAAATAATTTTGACTCATGAATGTGTGAAATAATATTTAAAAAATTTACTAAATAAAGCATCATAACTTTTAAAAGAATTCTACAGTATACTCAGTGTCGATCAGTAACTTAAATTATTAAAACAATCTATACAAAAGTTTAATTTTGGAACACGTAGTCACGTGCTTGATAGCTTGCAAAATAATTTTTAAAAAATGAAGTGTTAGTGTTAGCTGGTGTTAAGGAAGTTACAACTAATCGCTCAACTTAAAGATGGCAGCAGTTTTGTCATAAGACTTACGTGTCTATCCATGATTGGAAATAAGAAGTGTAAAAGACGTGAAAATGGCGTAACATAGGAATTGTAAGCGCAAATCTTCATTCTGACACTATTTATAACTGTAATTTTTCTGACCTGATCAGAGTATTGGTCTATTACAGTCCAATCTCGAGGACACTGAAAAGTGTGTCAAATGGCGTCAAACCTGTGAACATGATAGTGTACTTGCACAAGTTTCATTGATGAAACTTATCGACTACAAGGATTGGTACTATAGTGCCTAAAATGCTTATTCTCTAATCAAACGATAAAATTTTTTAGCAATAAATTGCGTCAAAATGTTGTACAGTTATTGACAAATGTTCGGTATCATTCTGACGCAAATTATCACTGATATTTCTTTATCAAAAAGTCAGTGAATAGACCAGCTAGTTTAAAGTTATGGCTAAGAATGCAGTTATTGTCATTTTGTGTATTTTTTATGAAATATGTAATGGAATTTATTTTTGCTATTCAAAACTCTCTGCTTTCAAATTTCCTTATATTATCCAAATTTCCTTGTGAAATGTATTTATGTTCCCTAAAAATTCGTTTAATGACAAATCTGGTGTTCTGTATTGTATTACGAGTGAGTTTTGTATGAGTTCAATTATGAGTTTTTACAGAATTATGTATGTGTTACGGTAAAAAAAACTGGTAAATCTTAGATTTTGACCAGTAAAACCTATTTTTTAACAAAGTGACTTTGAAAGTCCGATGTATGCTTTAATATTCCATTTTAAACCTCTTCCAAGGTACTTGTGGTAAAACCTAGGAATTATAAAGCCAGTTTAGTAAATCCTAGATTTTACCGGTAAAGCCTAGAATTTAGCAGACTTCAGGCTTTCACAGTAACACACGTGCTTCGAAGATGTTGGTATTCATAACACAAAAGTCATGAAAAGAGAATTTCACAGCAAGTTATAAACTTACTACTTTCATATTATTTTTTGCTCGTTTAAATCAAATTCATAAAAATTAATACACTTCATTCAAAATTTAATAGCTCAATTTAACTTTCAACTTCTGCATCCAAAAGTATTTTAACCTTTTATAAATCTTTCAATATATCACTGCCAAATTATGCTAAAAATGCGCAGTATGGTATTTTACATCTCTAGCAAGAGAATGATCATTGCTATTCATCGAACTTAGACTTATGTCTGATTTTTAGACAAGCTAAAAACAATGAATATCTAAAAACCATTCTTTAATTCGTTCTTTAAGATTTTCAAGGTGTAAAAGAAAAAGAAACGTTCCTCAAGATTTTCAAAATTTTTAATGTATGATTTATTTGCCTTATTTTACTTTATGAGCTTTAATTTTGAATTTTAAAAAATTATATAAGTTTCGAATTTATAAATGTTTTCTTTTTTTTCTTATCAAAACAAGACAGAAAATTAGTTTTGAAGTGTAAGTCGTAGCACAACAGAGATCATTCTCTTGCAGAAACATAATTGTCAAAATCAGACAATTATTTTTAAACCTAGAGTTGGCATTAAATGGAAATGTTAAACCCCATTTAACAGAAGTTAAACAAGGATTACACCTCAGATTTTAGCGTCGTCTTCGTCTGCATTCATTGTAGAAAAAAAATGTTGACATTCTGCGATTTTCAATTAATACTAAATCTATAGCAGTTGAAGACGATTAAAACTCTGAATGTATCGTGTAATCTCCACTTTTAATACTAAATCATAATTATGTTTACGATTGACAGTGCCATCATCTTATAATAATGGTTTAAGCATGGGTAACATGCTTAAACCATTATTATAACTTGTTACTTCTGCTTTATAATGACCACATCTTTATTAAAACTGACAACGAATTTAAGACGTTAATTGCCGGAAACGAATATACTGAACTGTATTCTCGCACACCGCTGAAAATTTTTTTTATTTTAGATTAATCAAGGTGTACTGAAAATATTTATTTCCTTACGCAACTGGATCGCAAAACAAAAGGACCAATATAAGAATGAAGCTTTGACAAAATTTTGATCAATGTTGGAAGTGGGGAACAATTGACTTATGTTAACCAATTACAACTATGTTTAG